TATCGACGTAATAAAGTACACCTAGAGGCCCTCCGATGTCAGCATCAGCATTGAAGAAGAGGTATTATTACTCAGCTGCAGCAGGTGCATGCATTTAGGAGTAAAGGTCTTACACTGAGAGTCATTTGTTCTTGCTGGGTCCGAAACTGCCTTCAGGAGCTGAACTCCTCGGTCATGAGCCCACGTGTTCTCCCTCACTGCTCCGAATGGCCCTCGGATCAGCAGATTCAGCCTCACTGGGGAGCTTGTTAGTGCAAGATCCCAGGGCCTGCTCCAGACCTAGAGTCAGAATCTGCATTTTAACAGGATCCCCCAGGTGATCTGTGTTCACATTCAAGCGTGAGTAGCGCTAGGTCAGACCCCCATCAGCCACCTCCACCTGCATGCTGACATGCCCTCCATTTGTGGTTCCTTCAGGGCAGAAGCCACCTGCGTCTGTTTACTGAGGCTGCATCCTGGGCACCTATGAACCCTTTGTTTTTTTCTGAGGAGCTGAGACCAGTGTGGTCTTGGTCAAGGCTGGGAGCAGCCTTCCATGTGTAAGCAGGTGACAGTGCTTCCAGGCATTGTACGGCTCCCTACAGGGTGAGCTACGTAGTCAAACTGGGCTGTCACCGACCTAACTAGACCCAAGGTGTAAGAAGGTCATGTTGGAAATGCCGGCATCACATTGACCTAATGGCGTATCTGACTTACTTTCCAACCCAGGGCACAAAACAGCTTCTGCCAGCAAGCGTGTTCTGCCAGACACTTGGAAGAATAGGAAGTTGATGGCCCCAGTGAACGGGACTCACACAGCTAAGAACTGCACCGATCCTGGTAAGAGATAGATTCTGCCCCACCTGCCTCCCACGGCATCTGCCTGGTGATAATGCATCCGTGGATGGTTACAGCCCTGGATCTGAGTGGGAAAGGGTAGCCGGCAGGTGTGGGGAGGTGACTGCAGACATGGGTCTGCTGTGCTGCTGAGCTACTCAGAGCGCTCGCTTTATCCTGCGGCTGCAAAGGTCACATTCCAGAGCTTAACATTTTTACTTTTTGTTCTTACAATGCTGCTGAAGCCTGAGAGTTCCCCCGCTCCCTTGACTTGGTGTTTCCTGGGTGTCTTTGTTTCCTCTCCCCGCTGCTCTCTGCTTCCAGCACTGGTACTCTGGGGGCAGCAAATGTGGCCGTGCAGGTGGATGGTGCTATGAGAGGAGCTTCTGGGTCAGGCCATGCCCACGGCTGCAGGGCTTAGACCACTGAGGTGCAGGGTCCTTTCTCTCAAGCCAGAGTCCCCCAGGTTTCTTTCGGCTCCTGGAACCCGAGTCTACCCACCCCTGGGAAGCAGTTCTGATGTTCCTCGACTTCTCTAGGGGATTAGAGATGGTAGGGCCCAGAGAGATCTCTCTGTTCTCTCAATGTAGGCTTCTCTTAGGCAAGTGGAGAAGATTCTTGGGGAAGACAGTGTAGTGGTGAGGCTGGTGGCCACTGCCCAGGCATCAGGGCCGTCCTACACCTTTGCTCTGGCTCTGGTTCTTGGAGTCTCTGTGAAGAGGATCTAGTGGGCTGATGCATTTGAAAGTGCGAGGAAACTATGAGGCTTTGCTAACGATGGCATTTCACCCCCTTCCTGTACAAATCACAAAGCTCTCTTCTTTTTCATCTGTGAAATGGGCAGATTAGGACTTGCCTGCCCCAAGGTGGTGTGAAGAATCGGGTCAGGCTCTGCATGAAATTGTGTGTAAAAGGAGTTGCAGTGCCCGGCAAAGGAGCAGGTTTGAATGGCATCTTCCTGTGCCCGTTGTCATGTCCATGAGGCAGGTCTTAGCCCCATCTCACAGGTCAGGAGACTCCAGGGAGGAGACACGTGCTCAGTCGTAGAACCCCTAAAGGGTGACGCTGGCTTTGGAACGGAGGGCCATGTGACTGAAGCAGTTGGTTGGTTCTGTGTGATGAAGACCAAGGTGATCCGGCTCAGTGGTGGGGCTACAGCATTCTGCTCAAGGGAAGCCAGATCCAGATCAAAGATGGCGGGTTGATTTCCCGGTTGAACCGAGCCCACCAGGCACACGTGCCCTGGTCTGGGCTAGTTGGGGAGGCTGAGGAGGGGCTCGCGGGGTGAGACCCTGTTGAGAGTGCTTATCTCTCTCTGTCTCTCTCAAAGGAGAAATAAATAAGTTTTAAAAAACTTCTGTACTATCAGGTCGTCAGGAAAGTCATGATGTACTTTTTGCATAGAAAAATATGTCACGACTCTCCCGACGACCTAATGTTTCCCACACCATTGATGTTCCTTCCCTCGGGTGCCTTTGGAGAGTGCGAATGGGCCTTGGGGGGTAGAGGGGCGAGCACCAGTGTGCAGAGAATTGCTGGGGTCCCTTTGAACATGGATATCCACTCCTGAGAGATCTCGTCTCTTCTGGTGACCCAGCAGGTGGTGGTGCTGGGCCCGACTCCAATTTTCACCCAGTGTGTCTCATCAGCCCAGGGTTTGGGGTTGAGGGTGGACACAGGGTCTAGGCCGTCACATGCCACAGGCCACTGACTCCCTGGTGGTGTGTGTAAGCACGGATGGCTAATGTCGGGGCCACTCCTCTCTCACCAGGGATCCGAAATGCCACAATTGGCACCGCCCACACTGGGGACACTTTGCTACTCTGGGTGAAGCATGGGCTTGGGGAACTTTGGACTGTGTCTCAACTTCCCTTCCCTGCTCACTTCCATCCTCCGTAGTCTGAGCATATCAGCTGTGGCAGGGTCCCAGTTCTCCATGCCCTGCGTGACCCCGGAATCTCCAGCATGCGGCCCGTGAGAAATGACTTCTCTGGCCCAGCTGTGGTGGTGCAAAAGGGAGAGCCTTACCGCCTGGTGTCTAGGGCTGCATCGCAGGCCTACGGTTTCTGGCCCCACGTGGACAGACCGGGTGTGGTGGGCACAGGCACCTGTGGGCCTACTTGGTGGGAGGCCAGGGTAGGAGGGATTACTACACGGTGACACCTCGTTTCTCTCTGTCTCGGGCATGTGTCCATGCACGGACTCACTCTCTTTCTCTCTTATTAAAAACTAAAACCACACCGGTAAAGCAGTTCATCCTATTTGGAAGGAAGACTTGATCTCATTTCCCTTATGGCAAAGGAATCAGTAGTATCTTTAGCAATAAGTACCGTTTACATTAAGCTTCGTGTTGACTGTTTTAGACTAGAATCTGGCGCACAGAAAGGACTCGGCGGGCGTTGGCTGAAGGACGGGATGAGAGCACAGGCTGATGTAGCACGTGCCTCAGTGTTTACCACGCTTCCCCAGAGAGGACGCACACACAGCTCCGAAGTGTAGTAGCTGGAGAGATCTTTCGGTCAGCAGGTACATTTCCGGGGTCTCTGGCTCCAGTGCTCTGCTGCGCCAGCTCTCAGCTCCCTCCGTCCCAGGCAGGGCTGAGGCCACTCTCCCTGCCAGCCTGGCCAAGAGACTCCCTTTCCATGTCAGAAGTCTGTAGCGAGCACCAGGTAGGGTGTCCACCTCTGCTGTGGGAGCAGAGCAAGTGTAAGGCACACACCTGTCATCACGTAGCTTACACCTGAGCAGAGCGGATGAGGTCCAGACATGTGGGAACGAGTAGAGGTGAAGGACTTCGGGGCCCCCTAGACGGCAGCCCTTCCCGAGGCACTCTCGCTATTCTGAGGAGGGTGAGCTGGCCTGATTCAGTTCTGTGCAGTCTTGGGGTGTCAAGGAGGCAGGCCTTTATTGCAGAAATAGAAAAACCTCCCCAGATTGGGTTTAGCAAAAAAGGAATTGGTGGCTGGGGGAGGGGAGGCCAAAGATTAGGAGGTGTCCGTGACTCGGTAGTGTTCCTGTGTGGGAAGGAGGTTGCCCTGGGTCTACCTCTGTGTCCTCCTAGGCTCGGAAGACTGGGGGGAGAGCACGTGTGGCCGAGCTGCCTCTGCTGAAGCCCCGAGGTGCTGCTGAGTCCACTTGTTCACCTGACGCCTTGAGCTCACTGCTCTTGCCAAGGGAGTGCTGGGCCTTGGATTGGCTGAGAACAGAGCCACTGGTGTCACCTCCCCCAACACCGGGGCTCCCCCCAGGGGTCAGCGAGGCTGGGCCAACGAAGAATAGGCACTAAGTTCTTTGCTACCACCCACCTGGGCTGCCCTACTGGGGCTGCCACTGTGGTGAGCACTTTAGGGTCGCTTCGACGCTGTTGGCAAAGTTCCCCCATAAAGAATCTGGAGGTTCTTTCATCTTCTTGAGGCTTCTGCCATGAGCTCTCTCCACCAGCCGGGGGGCCTCTCTTCCTGCTGCTCCAGAGGAGTTGTCTACGATGTGGGAACATGGTGCCCAAGGCATGGCTGGTGAACCAGAGAACCCCTGCCCTGCCCCGGCATCACTGCGAGTCTTGGTACACGTCCTGGTGAGAACCGCCAGGCCGTGTCTCAGCTCCTGTACCCCCTGGATGCTCCCGTGTGCCCGGGAGGAGTAACTTCACTTAGTGAAACATGAATGGGATCCTGCTTCTTTGAAGACCGTAGAAAATGGGCTCTTGGTTCTGCTGGTGTCGTTTTCCCAGATCTTGGTGTTTAGACTCAGTGTTTTGGTCTCATTGTCTGCGTTTCAGCTTTAAGCACCCCCATCCCCCAAATTGCGTTCCTGCTGCACGGATCCATTATCTTATATTGCATTTCAGACATCTATCACCATCTAGAATAGCTTAGTTCCTGTGTCTGATGGCTCAGAGGGCTACTTGTTCTTGCCCAGAACAGTGGTTCTTAACCTGACCACACACTCAGATCACCTCAAAGACATCACAGGTATGTTTTTAAATGCCAGGCCTGACCTTCAGAGTGTCTGACTTAATGGGTTTGGTGTAGGGCCCAAAATCTCTACTTAAAAATAAAAAAAAACGTAACACTATTTTAGTTTTTGCTATAGGAGTGTGTGCTCAGCAAAGAGACAGGGAGAGAATGTGAAAGCACCCCCTAGGAGGAGGGCCATGCAGTCCCTTTCTTCTAGTCTCCTCTCTGGAGTTGGAGCATGCGTGCACATGTGCCTGGTGTGATTTGCAAGCTGCTGGGTTCAAGGCTTGAACTGTGAAGATTGCCATGTGGGATCCAGTGCCTTAACCTCCACACCATCTGCTGGTCCAGGAATCTCTAATTTTTAAGAGCATCTTAGGTCCAAGCTGAAGGTAGAACGGACGCTCAGTGGGCTGTAGCCCTCCTGTCAGTTGGGTGCTTGTTAGGAATGCGGGCTCTCTGGCCCAGACCACCAGCCAGTCAGACTGACCGACCTTGGCAGCCTGGTGAAATCCCAGGTGACTCCCCTGTACACTGAAAGCCAAGAGACACCAGTCTGGAATGCTGCCTGACACTAGGTAGATGTTCAGTAAATATCTGCATGTGGAGCCAAAGCTAAGGCTTTTCACTTAACATAGTGATTTTATTTTATTTCATTTCATTTCATTTTTGAGAGATTTTTGCTATAGGGCGTGTGCACTCGCCAGAGGCAGAGACAGAGAGGCAGGAAGCGAGAAATCACCACCCAGGGAGGATGGCCAAATCACAATCCCTTCTCTTCCTCCTCTTGGGATCTTGGGCATGCATGCACAAGCACCCGGAGTGAGTTTACGCCACCGGGTCCAGGACTTGAACTGTGGTCGACCACATGGGAGTTCAGCGACATAGCCATTACGCTAACTGCTGGTCCCCCATAGTGATTTTCTTGAAAGCCATTTTTTTAATACAAGAAAGCTTAAATTTTACATAGACATGACCAGTGATGTCTATGTAAAATTCATAATTAATTTTTTTTCTAGAGATTTTTTTTTTTTGGAGAGGTTTTTT